CCCCTTTTCTGGGCAGTGGCTCAGTGTTCAGCAGTCTCGGTTTGCCCGTTTTGGACTTGGTGCTACGAACTTTTACATGTTCCACCGATTCAGCTTGTTCATTTGAGACCTCAGTCTTCTCGGTAAACCACCACGCAAGAATCTTTGCACACGCAGCATGCAGAACCCAGAGGTGCTTTAAGACAGCTTCTCACGCCTCTCGTTGTTTTCATTTTTCAAGGTTTGCCACGCCACCATGTGCGTTTGCGTGTCGCATCCTACGAATGTTGCCGGGCCTCTCGTTGCACACAAGCTACCTATGAATCCACTCTGTCACCGACATATCATGCAACAGCTGCTAGCTTTCGTTCACCCGCTCCTCAAGTTCCATGAACCTGCAACGCTTGCTCAGAAGAGATGCTTAATCCTGCCAGATATGGTAAGGGCTTCGTTTCTTGCAGCGGCATGCCACTAAGGACGTCGGATTAGGACTGGGGATCCCAAAATGTTGGAGTGTGTTTTAGAAGATTGCAAGCGTATGCATCATTACATCCAGCAGCAAGTTCTACAGGATTTTAGCCCATCAAACGGCCAAACAAATCAAGTTTCACGTTACTTTCCTGCAGAAGCACGAATAGTTTCTTCGACTGCCAAATCCACTCGCACCCTGGCTTCCGATTTCGGTACGGAGGCACTTGGAGCACGCGTCCGACCAGGGCGGATATCGAGCCCCTGCCAAGGAGATCGACTTCGCGCTTCGAGTGAAGTTCACATGGCGGGGTGGCTGGCTAAAACATGGCGTTCCTCGCTAGAGGCCCCAGCCCTTTCAAAACTCCCAGTCTGGATCGAATGTGTTTGAAGGGGCAACAATCTAGCGTGACTACGACCTTTGGTCACTTAGAACCAGCGCTACGTGTTATCTTCAACATGTTTGAGAGGTCACCTTCAGCATCTTTGAGGTATCCTTATTGGGGTCTTCATTGCGAAGTTTCCTTGGTTACATATGTTTGTTCACAAAGGTTACCTTTTATTTTATCCCCAGACACCCAGTGGGGCGGGCTGCCCTTTGTACCATTTCTTTCGGAGACGGTTTCCCGTCCGAGAAGTCAACGATCAGAAAAAGAGTGGCCGTGTTGTGAGCACATGCCAGCCACCTTCTTTGTGTCAAAGGATCAACTACCAACGAAAAGTGCCCTGACTCTGGCCGCTCCGAACTCCGAAGCTACAAAAGCAGGAGGTTTTATTTGCTTCTATAAAGTCAACGACCAGAAGAAAGTAGAATACCCGTTTTCCCAATCTGTTTAAGAACCTTGAGGGGGCTTACGTACCTTCAAAGGTCACCTCCTGACGCACGCTCTGCAGGAGGCCAAGCCGGCAGAAAGCACCGGGCCGCTGATGAAGGAGAATCATCGGTTTTCAAGAGCGCTTGTGGGTATGTTATTCTTGGGGAGCACTCTAGATTTTGTCAGGAAAACATCATAGGAAAACAACAAGGACATCCACGTGGGCCTTTTTGGGACAGAGAATCACTTCCTGATTTGGATCCGAATCCGGATCGTAGTTTGAATGTATCCTAGCAACCCGATTTCTTTGACTGCTGGGTTTGTCGGGATCACGTAGCTTTACGATTCTTGGCAAGTTGTTTGGTTCTGTTCAGTTTTAGTTGGGCTGCAAAAAAACAGTCAGATTTTGTCCAACCATACTAAGGGTTGAAGGTATGTTTCCCCAGCCAACAAAGAGTTAAGCCTCTTTGCGCGGAGGGTAATCGCCAAGAGCTGCCCTGTGCGGAACTTCGGGGGTACCAACGCTTGGAATTTGTGTGTGTTGGTTTTAAGGGACCCCCTCGAAGTCGTGGTTTGCCTTTGGGTTTCGTTGTTTAAAGCCACCACAACATCGGGGCCCTGAAAAAACATAAGCACACACACGTGCAAGCTAGTCACAAGTGCGCACAGACAAACATGCAGACACACAGACACACACACACACACAAACAAACCAAAACGCGCAGACACACGTTTATTCGAAAGGCGGGCGACATGGCACGTACAATTGTTGCTAAAACACACGTTGTTCATTGTTTCTTATATGGTCGGATTGCTTCAGCGTTCCGTCCATGCATGTTGACATCCGGTGCGAATCCGTGGAGGTGTTTAAGAAAAACCTTCTCGGCTGGAAAAAGCGTGCACGCCAGGTTTTGGAAAGCAAATCGGTCCCCAAAGGGGGTTTCTACTCAAGAGGGATCAACCCTTTCAAGCCCAAGCCCTGAGAGGTGCCTCAGAAGCCGGCTGCTTTTTGTTTGTCCCTTGGGCTTAGTCTTTTTCTTTTCTAAGCCTAGAGGGAAACCACCCGTTTTGGGTTTCCCGGCTTCACCCGATTCTGATGCCTTGTCGGGTTATTGGAAAGGGGAAACCAACTCGTTTGTTGGTTTCCGGTGTCACCCGATTTGGAGGCAAGCCTGAGTAGACGTCCATGAGCCCGGCCCCGTATGATGCCGCCGGCTTACAGGGGGGAGAGATGGGGTCGCTTAGAAACCTTATGCGCGGCCAGCCCGACAAAACTCGCCATTACATGCGTGGCAGCCCAACACTCACATCTTGAGTTGCTGGGAAGATCGTTTGTGTGTCAAACGTAGGATTTGGACATTTTTGGACCTGCGCACTCGCAAGAGACACAAGCAGGTCGATGAACGGATCCCCCCTGATGAAGAGCACAAAGATCCAGCACATATTTGACATATCACACTTCGACAACTGCCAAGTTAGGAACATAATATTGTCGAAAAGGCCCTGAAGGCAGAGTTTGCCTTAGCCGATTTGATCTGCTGACCAGGGTCAAGGAATGTCCGCACAGTACTGCCTGTTGATCCTCAGTCAACATTAGTCGTTGGGACGTTATCCCCCCCAAAGAATCCACGAGGGAAGTTATCTCACTCCCTGAGTTCTCGACTTTAGTCACTTATTTTAGTTTTGACCAATTTAGTGACTAAAGTTAGTCGGGGAAGCACCCCCCAGAGAATCCACAAAAAATAACTCACTTCCTGAGTTCCTGCACTCTAGTCACTTTTCGGCTTTGGACCACTTTCCTGGCAAACAACCAGTTTGGTTACTTTTTCGGCCAGTCCACTCAGTCACTCAAAAGGAGAGGTTCCGACGCCGTGCGCTCGCCATGGCGCTTCGAGCCGCGGACGTGCCCAGATCCCGGGTCTCTCCGCCGGTCGCACCGACGCGAAGACCGCCGATGCCGGGCAGCGGCGCCTTTGCGCTGCACACAGAGGAACCTTTGTAGGGAAATCTTTCGGCCCACGCCACCCCTCTTCGGCAGTTCCCAGCCATCTGGTTCCTTAGCTTGTTAGCTTTTGGGGGTCTAGTGGGTGGAACGCCACTAAAAGTTCAACTTTTAGCAGGGGATCTCCGGACAGCCCAGCCTCAAGAAACATTCTTTGAACCTTCTGAAGGCTCGCTGAAGGGCTTTGAACCCTTTCTGAGGTTGGGGGCCGAATGTCCTTTGTTGGTTTGACCATCTTCTCGTTGGAAAGCGCGAGGCCCACGACTGAGCATGACAATCTCGGTTTTGAGTCCAACCCTAGCAAAGCACCCATAGAGGGTGTGCACTTTTCGAGGGGCGCCTTATGTCCTGCGACGGTAAGTATTTCCCACGTTCCACCTCTGCCTGAACAAGAACCACCAAGAAAAGCGATGAGAAAACCTTATAGCTTATATCAAGGCTTGGTGCTGCAAGAAGGTACGGCCCTGCCAACGACCGATTCCCCATTTAGTTCGAATCCAAAAGCGCTAACCTCAACCCAGACCCCCCCTGGAGGGATGCTTGTCCATCCATTGGAGCTGCTGAAGTTGCTACAAAGTATGCAGAAGGTTCGCACGCCGAAAGCTCTCTGCAAGGGAAAATTTGCCGGACCAGCGCTAGATTCCACTTGCCTACCTCGAGCTAACAGACATAGAAGTGGGAACGCTTTCCGAAAGAAGTAGCTTTCCAAAGGGGGTTTCCCTGCACTTCCAGGTTTGTTGTTGAGGGTAGACCTTGGTACCACTGGGCCATATGGGACATCAATGGGGGAGCCTTTCAAAGAGGATAGGGAAGGTTTAGCTCGGATCGTGTACTTATGGGAAGGCAACGCCAATTGGACGTGTTCACCACAGCCACTTGCTCAAAACCCGGATAGATGAAGGTTAGTGAGGGACGATCCCGGCCAGAAATAGTTGCGGATATCCGCCTTCTTAATTCTTTGAAGCATTCTGGGATTACGACCAATTTTGTACCGATCGGTTTTGAGCAAGTGACTCACTTGGATTGGCTTTGGGTTCATCCAAACCCTGCCAACTTCAAAGGAGCAAATCCATGGTGTTTCAACTATGGCGCGTTTTGCGGACAAATCTAAAGACGGGCCCCAGATCCGGGGAATTCTGCAGGCACTTTCTGACCGGTTTTGTGAGGTGAAAATAAGAGGCTTCGCTGTAGGCAAAGTACAAGACAATAAATCACTGGTAGCCTGTGCCTCGCCATAGAAATTTTGGGGCCACCCAATTCAATTGCCCCTCGTATGCTTCTTGCCAAGGGGGGCGGACATCACGTGAAGCATTGGTAAGTGATTTAGGTTGCTGCTCAGATGATCTCAGATGACTTCCTCATCGACCCTTTGTTCGCTGACCTTCAAGAACAAGTGTTAGCTCATTTGAGCCTCGTGAGGGCAGATGGGCCCCCGTTTCTGCTGATTTGATGCACTTCTGACCGCAAGGGATCCCACCCAGCCATATCGAAAGCAGATGCTCTGCCGTTTCACGTGTCCCAAAGACAAGTGTAAGGATTCTTGTAACATGGTGTCCACAGGGGGGGGGGTCTGCGCTTCTTTCTCTTGTTGCTTTTTTTTGTGCGGGGGGAGGGGGGCTCGCTTGTGTGGGTTTTTTCGTTGGAGCAGCTCAGGCTCGTTGAGACCTCCGCGCTGGACTTGGGCCCTGCCCATCGGCCTGCAGCTTTCCCGGCGGCATCGCTGCGGAGCACGAGCCATGCCGCTGGCTTGGGAGGCGCACTCGGCGAACATCGGAACCGCCGGACAAGTCGTTCGCCTTGGCGTGAAAAAACGGGGCGGTCCGTTTCTTGGCTCGGAACCAGCCGTCCTGTTCCTCTTGAGGCATTTAGGGTTGAGTGGGTAAACTTTTAGCAGATCTGAGGACCGCCCAGTTTTGAAGTGATGTGTTGATGGCCTACTTTGGTATTGTGGAAAATGCAGTTTTCCACAACCGTGGTTTGGAACACACTGAAGCTTCCTTCAATGCCATCCGCTTGACGAGGAAAGCAGCACCAAGTCAGATTTCACGAAGCCCTCGCCGTTTGCACCAATTGCTTCGGGGGGGGGGGGGGGAAAAGGGCAATTCTGCCCATTGTGCAGGGTCAGATTTTGGGGTTCCTCGATTCAAGTTGGGAAGGGCTCGGGGGTTATGGGTTCGATTTGGAGGGGCGGCTTTGGTTTTCTTCAAAGAACACTTTGTGAAAGACACCCTCCTTCCCACTAAAATGGCATCTGACGGGGGGTCGCGTCGACAAGAAGTTTGTCTTCAAGATACCTCACCACAGGTACCATGAAAGTTGGAGAAAGGGTATCTCAGCAATTTATTGGGGTTGGTGGTTTGGGGTTTGAATCCCTGGTGTCACTAGGCGGTAATGGGAAACCGCCCCTAACCTCCAACCTATGGGAAGCTAACATAGTGCCGTAGCGGCTAGAGCGGGTTTGGCTTGAGCTCAGGAAAGGCCCAAGATTGGAGGCGTCCCTTTCTGTTGAGCTGGTGGATTACTAGGATGAAGCGAAATTAGTGCAACAGCACGGCAAGAAAGGCCGAAGCACATAGGGCGAAATGAGGCCAGACCGCGCAGAGACATGACCAAAGGCAAAATACTGCCAAACGATCTCAGAAAGGAATCTTTCCCAGGCCCGGAATTATAGGTTTGATGGTTTCAATCTCTGAGAGGCAGCAACGCAAATGATTGTCAAAATCGGGGATCCCCTGTTGTTTTCCTGGGTGGTTTCCCGTGAAACCAACCTAACCTGATTCGAAAGACACAGACGCGGAAAGAATGCTGACCCATCGGTCGAAGAGGCGTCGCTCCGGCTGGTGGACGAGGTGAATCAGCTTCGCTTCAGCCGCTCGAATTGGATTGGATCCGATTTTCTGACCCTCTTACCCCCTGCGACGCCCTTCCCCCGGTTTTTAAAAGGAAGCCTCGGCAGCGCAGTTTGAACTTTCAGGTTGAAATGACGCCTGAAACCGTGTGGTTTGCTGCAGGGCATCAAAAGCCTGTGTCAGATCTTGGCTTAGCCGCTCGGTGGTTGGTTGAATTTTTCAGAGAACTTGGTTTTGGGTGGCACCTGTGACGTTAGGCATTGAAATGTTGGATACCGTGTGGGGATGTTGCCAATCTTTCTCAATTGTCAACAAACCTCCCGGAAGAAAGGGCTCCAACCACTAGTGGGGGTTTATCAAGCATTCGATGAATCCTAAGCCATTTCGGTAAAGTGTCCACTTTCCTCACCCGAACATGGCACCTACTTTCACAGCTGAGCTGTTCGGGTCCTAAGATCACGGCCAAGGGAGTGCCTTTTGCCCACTTGGGCTTTGGAGGCTTCAAGACACAGGGGTCCCTATATTTCCCTTTTTGGAGGTGTTTAACATCACCTTTTGGCCCATGAAAGGCGAGTGTTCCTTGGTGGGGGTGATGTTTTGAGGGGAAGTATAGGGAGACCTGAAGCACCTCTTTCTTTGGTGCGGGACGCACTGGGCACGAAATGAACCCCAAAGGGTTCCGGCGACTTGGCGCGTAGCTTCCGGTGGCAAGCATCCTCCATACTTCTAAAAACTCGTACCTATAAACAAGTTTTTTCAGTGAGACCAATCGGGTGCCAAAATAGTATAGAGAATCTCACCTTGGTATCACGGAACATGCAGCTAATGTGAATGAAGCCTCAGGTTAATTAACAGAGGTATCCCCTTGTGGAGGGCATCCTTTACTTTCGGGACAAGCACCTCGCAAACCTCGAAAACAGGGTCCAACTGGTTTCCATAGACTCTCTCATTTGGTATATTGTGGTTTGCCAATTCCTTTGGCCAGGTGACGTTCACAGGGGAAAAACAGCTCACTTGCGAGGCTCCTGGACTTTAATTGTTTGGGAAGACCATTTTGGTGGTACACAAGAAGTATCGGAGCTGTTTTTTGGGCTTCTTGGGGAACCCTGGCCCGGACGTGTACACGTTGTTCAGCCGACCCGAGGCTGCCCCCAGCACGAGCTTTTGGCCTTACTGGACGACCTGCCCTCGCCGTCCTCGCCGTCCTCGCCGTCATCTTCCCGCCCGGCGAACGGCCGCACGGCCAACGCGGCGAACGCGGCCTATTTGCCACCGCCGGCGGCGGAAAGGCGGCGCCCTGACGTCACTTTGAGGCTGCCGCCCAAGGATTCCTCCCGGAATCAACGAGAAGTGAAGCTTTTCAAAACCTGACATGATGGTCTTAGTTGTGAATTATTGGTTTGACTTCCTGGTTGCCCCCAAAGAAGTGGAGGTCTTCGAGCTTCGGTTTGCACTCAATTTCCCATGCACATCCACTTTGTGCGATTAGTTTCCAGTGTCTCTTGTCTCTTGTCTCTTGCTCACTTCCTCTTGTCTCTTGCTTACGGCAAGCGAGATGGTTGCGGGGTACGCACACACACCAACTTACGCCATAGGCCAATGAGTTAAGCAGATTAATTCTTCAACCTTAGGCGGGGGAGTGAAAAAGACAAGTTGTGGAAAACCACTATGTTTGTTTCCGTCCTGGAAACCATAAGCTCAAATTAGGGCCGTGATCCACTACACAATTGACAGCAGGGACCCGTTCCTATGTCTCCATTTCTTGCTGGTGGCATAGGAAATCACTTTTGGGGTGGTGGGAATGAACCTTTTGGGGGATTCTCTGAAAGGAAACCAAATCGTGGATTGGTTTTCTCGTGCCACATTCCAGGTGGGCTTCCCTAAAAATCCGGGCAGCTCACTTGCACCGAATCGGCAAATAACCTTTGATCTGATATTTCCCCTGTTTGGCAACCGTTTTTTGGTCATGGCCATAAAAGATTGACCTTGTATTTGTGTGTAAAAAATTGGCAACTGAGACAGGGAACCCTGCCAGGATCAGTCGCCCGCCTTTAGGCACCCAGCGTGGACCTCATTGAAGGTGTGAGTTCCCAGGTACGTTGGGAGTTGGTACCCTCTTTGGTTCGTCTTAAAGGGACACCACGAGGAAATCAACATTTGTTTAGGGGTCCGATTCCTACAAATCCACACCTAACTTGTGTTTTCCCCATTGTTTCATCAAAGCCAGCCCCGGTCAGTGGTAGGTTTTCCAGGAACCTGTTCTTGATTTTCTGACTTTAGGCCCCCAACAGAATCCACATGATCCCGGCCGCAGGTTGCTTCCTGTTCTGTCGCTGCCCGTGGTTTCCATTGGTTTCCCTCCGCTTCTCAAAAGGGTCTAAGAGCAAACCGTGCACAGCTTTTTGCGAAATCAATAGCCACACAAAAGAATTCAAATGCAAGTTCAGCCAAGGCTTGCGAAGGAAGGCAACTTGAATGATTTCCAAGCCAAATCTACTGAGTTTCGGACATGTCCTTAGGAAAGTGAAACCGGGGGGGAAATTAAAAGCTGCAAGTGAGCTGAAACGACGCCTTGAAAAGCCTCTGCTTGAATGCCATTGGGTTCTTGAACTTTCAACTTGCTGTTCTCAGTCCAAAACCGAGCTTTTGGTGTTTGGGTCCTCCGTGGTCCAAATTTTAGCCATCCCAAAAGGTGAACCTTTCATTCCTGTGGACTGAGCAGATTTGTGGCTTCAGAACTTGGCACTAGAGGGTAGCATGGTTTCCCGCCAGAGCACCAATCTAAACCACCAAGTTTACCCCAAAATGGTTGGCTTCCTCTTGGCTCCCCCTTGCCAAGGTAGTCCCTGAGTTCCTGAATTTTATCCTTGTTGGGTGACCATGGTAGTGGTAAGCTAAACGTTTGGTCACTTGTTTGTGGATCAGAAGTGAGGCAAACTACACCCATTGATGAAATGTCTTGATTCATTGTCCCCCCAACATAGTTGGTTTCCTCTTGCCCTCAATGAAAGCCCCCTTACCCCGTCTTGGTCTTAAACTCAAACCTGGTTGGTTTCCTCTTGGCTTTTCCTTCCAACACGGGGGTTCGCTACAAAAACTTCTCTGTCCTTGGGCCAAGTTGTTTTCCTTTTTTTTTTGTAATTGTTTGGTTCTTGAAATTTTTAAGGGGCTGCGACCACAAAACGGACTCCTTTTCTGGTTGCAAGCCAAAACAATAATACCCTTCGGGTTTCCTTAAACCAACAAATTGGCGGCCGTTCGACTGGAAGTTCTCAGGTTCCTCTACGGCGCGGATGGGGCGCCGAGCCTCGGGGCGCCGGTGGTGCCGTGCAAAAACTGGCGCGAGAGGCCGCTGGAGGCGAGGTATCTCGGGGGAAACAGCTGGGCTCCGATTTTTGTCGGGGGGGGGGAAGATCCTAGGGGGGGAAGGGGGAAAAGATCTTGGGGGGGAGGGACGGGGGAAGGGGCTTGTGTGTTTTTTGGTTGGGCTTCTGAAAAGCTGCTTGAAAGTAGATAAGATTTTGGTAGATCTTGAACTTCTTGAATATTATCCACTGAAAAAGGGGGTACCCAGGGTACCCACATCAAAGACACACCCAAGTGTTGGAAATGATGTAGGCCCCCCATAGTACAGAATGAAAGTAGATGGCGCAAGTCCATACAATTCCCCCGATTTTGTGTAGCTCATCCCGGACTCATCCCCTTTACCATAAGGGGGTTGCGCCATCTATTTTCTTTGGTTTCTGCTGGGAGGTCCCGATGGTTGTGGAAAACTTGGTTCTTGGACTAACTTCTGTGAGGCCAAGGGAACCTCTTGTGAAGTGATCAAGTTGAACAACATGAGTTTCCCAACCACGGTCGACCTGGAGACGAGGGGAACATTCGCCGCAAAACGGAAGGCACCCAGTTTTCCTGTACCTTTTAAACCAACCCGAACAAGGGTTTTACAATAGCACACGCGCACACACACACACAGACAAGGGCCACTGTTTACTGTTTGTGTTGAGGGAACCTCCAAACTGAGTGTTTTTTTAAGTGTTTCCCCTTGAACACCAGCCCAAAAAGGGTACCCTCAAAATCTCCACCCACACCCACACACACACACATGTCACTTGCTTCCAACACATAGGTTATCCTTGTACCCGGGACACACACATACTAAAGACAAGAGGCGCACGGTTTCTTTCAGGGTTTAGGTGTTTATGTGCCAGGATCTTGTAGGTGTTTTGGGGTTAGGTGTTTGTTCAGGGTTCTCGGTGTTTGCATTTTTTGGTTCAAAGGCAAGAAACACACAAACGCACGGTACTAACAATTGGGGTGCCAGGCTCGAAAACGCGAAACACACACACACACAGACTTTTTTCTGCTTTGTCTCCAAAACTGATCAAACATGTAATTAGGAACATGGAACCTGGTAACCTTGGCTGCCAGGAGATCTTGGAGTCCGCGCTGTCTGAGCTGAAGCGTTGCGGCTTCGTGGTGCTCGAGGAGCTGGTTTGTCCAGAGAAACTGCAGGCGGGGGGGGAGGGGAAGTCGGGGCGAAAGGGTTTAAGTTAAGGGTTTCAGGGTTTAGGGTGCAGATGAGGCGCCTGGACTCTCAGTTGTTCAAAGCGAATCGACCGGGTCTGACCTGTTCGATCTCTTTTCGTTTTGTTTTGCTGGCCCCAAAAGGTGAACCTCGTATTTGCAGGAGGAAGCGTGGGCCTCCAATAGTGATGGCCCCTCAAAAGGGATAGAGTCCTACAATGAAGGAGGGCACCCCCCCTATTCATCAATCAGGGGCTTTGTGGGGTTCCCATTGCACTTAGTAGAAGTAGCCAAGCCAAGGGACTCTTCAGTCACTAGGCAGCTGGGTAAAACCGACTCCCAATGGGCTGGTCTCCCCTTGACTTCCAAAAAAAGGGCACATGGTTTTCTACAGACGCCTGTATCTCGCCCGAGTTTTGCGACGTGCCATGTTTGGGGGAAGTGACTTGAGTGGAAGAAGTTTCGCTTGATCGGGAGGACACGCAGGACCAACTGTCTACTGTCTACCCTTGGCTGGAGTCTTCGTTTTCTTCATGTGGGGTAGGCAAAAAAAAGAAGGGGCAATCAACATCCTGCACCAGTTGGTAGGTTCGAATCGGATTTTGTCCATCCGCTGGTTTGTTGTCAGCCACCCAAATTTGAGCGGGGCGGCCTTGCCTGGCTTAGGAACAACCCTTTAACCCTAAGCTCCATGTCTCACGAGTGCCTTACCTGTTGAACGTAGCTTGCCCGAGATTTTTTTCACCGGGCCCAAAAACTTGGCAAGCCCAAGTACTTCATGGAATGGGGGTGGGCGCGGCGGCGGCAGCGTATTCGCCTCGATTCCGTGCTTTGAGGCGAGGTGAGTAGGATAGTGATATTTTCGACAATGAAACCTACTTGCCGAAATTAGGGCTTACATGGGCCGACATTTTCGGGACATCTTGTCGGAATACATGATTGTTTGGATTAGGCAACCCTTTGTTGGTAAAGAGGGGGTGTTTTCAGTAGAAAGTCTCCACTTTTGGAGGTCCCCCATTCGGATTTGGGGTCTACCTAAATCCGCGGTTCTCATTACCCAATTGACACCCAGGTTCTTTTGGGTCGGGTTTGAGAAAATCGATAGGGCCATGGTCATGGTTCCTTTGACTCAGTTGCCCAAAAAGGACCCAGAAAGAAGAGGTTGCCACTAACAATGGACGAACAAGGGGAAACTACAAGGTCCAAAGATCCATTCGCCTTGGGCAAGCGGGCTAATTCCTACTAACACAGCTAAAATCGTTGTCAAATGACCATGGGACTCATACCCCCAGGAGCCATCGGAACTGGGGGTTTCAAAGGCACTCCAAAAAAACAAAGCGAAACACACACGCACGAATGGAGGTCTTGTCCATGGTGCACATGTCAGGTAAGCAAAATTGAAAGTTCGAACACCTTTTTTTTTTCCGGCGTTCAGCTCATTCCCAAACGTGAACAAGTGGGTTGTCTTGAGGGGGAATTGAATTTGGAACACTACGACTTGCTGGGTCCCATGTCTTGGAGACACCCCTCTCTGTGACCTTGCTGCATCCCGGACCTTCCATTGATACTTTTTGTTGCTCTTTCTGCTCGAACACACAGTTTGCGCCCGATTCTTCAATTTCCGGCCGAGCAATGGACAAGTGTTCGAGGTTTATATTTTCAAATGAGCACTTTTCAAATTTACGCTCGTTTGCGTGTTTTTGCGCTCGTTTTGCGGGCCGTTGCGGGCGTTTTTGCACAATTTCTGCTCGAGTAGGTCATATATTAGGACCTGACAGCCCTCATGCCTCCAAAACTGCTGGAGGTCCAAAAAAGAGGACAGGCCAAAAGAAAAAGGCACGAATTCCAAAAACCAGCCGATTGACAGGGGAGTCATAAATTTCAGGTTCGTTTGAAGGTCCAGGAGGTTGTTGAAGTTTTGTTCTAGCCACTCATTGCCAGACTGAACTTCCCATTTTCACCTTTTGCCTTTTTGGTTCTCTGTAGTCCGTAGTTGTCGCTTACCACTCAGAAGTCCACTTGCTTGGGGGTGGGATCCGTTTGGCCTAATCAAACCCAGTCTTCGAACCTGACGCCAGGTTTTCGAACGAGTCAGGAGGTTGCATCTAAAGCTCTCTGGTTGGTTTCCACGGGAATCCGTTCCCACTCTAGGAACCAGATGCATCCGATGTTGCACTTTCATGTCGTCAGGATATCGTCAGGATTAGTGTTTCATATAATGCGGTGCAATGCTTGGGTGGGCAAAATAAACCCTCAAAGAAACGCAGTCCATCAACTCGGTATAGACTATAGACATATATATATAGATATGTACATACATATATGCATATATACACGTGTATACATGTGTATATATATATATATATATTTGGGTTGTATGTGGCCAGACAAGGAATGGGCTTCTCATGGTTTCTCAGTATGGCTCTTGCTACAGAGGACTTTCGGCGCTGCACTGCCTTTGCGTTTCTCCGGGTCAACCGCCAAATGGGGGGGCGCTTGCTCACCAGTTTTCGGATCCCCTTTTCCTGCTCAAGACATAATTTATTAGAGCAACAAATTTTGTAGCGGCCGTCTAAACAGCAAGTGCTTAAACCTGTAGGCCATTCTGTGGCTTTTGCACCTGCCTTTTCACGGGTCCAGTCACCGGAGCCCGCCGAAAAGGGGCGAAGTTGACTCGCCAGGCGTTGCTGGCCGATTTCCGGCGCCAGCGGACAGCTGGGCTGCCGGAGGGCGTTACCTTCAGCCGCATGCGCGCACAGAGGGCGACCCGTCCAAAACGAGGTCTCATGGCCGAGATGGCACTGGCTTTTTCAGAAGCACTTTTGGGCTGGGAAGCACATTCAAGCCACTGTTTAGGGGGTAGTTCTTGTTGAGGAAGGCACTTTGGTGCACGCAGCCCAGGGTTTATGACCCGGGTTGATGAACAGGGGAGGCTTCCTATTTGAGGGGCATCCTTCCCTTGGAGGGACGGCATCAATGGGTTAGGCCAGGGTGCGAGGCGGTCGGTCGAAGTCCTTTCGCCAGAAAATGTATCCTGGGCATGTTCGATCCTGAAGCAACTGTTTGGAGTACCCCAGGTGTGGTCCAAGAACTGCAACTCCCGGAGCCAAAAGATTGCCCCATACTTCCAGGGGTTGATTTCTTTTTTATTATTTTCAATCATCGTTCTTTCCAAAAACTGGATCCGTTTTCTCTCGGTTTCCGGAGGTTTTCTAGAAAGAAGGATCCCTGGAAAGAATGGACAAGGAAGGTACCCCTAGAATACTGGCATATTTCAGAGCTCCAGGATACACCAGCGTTGCCCAGCCAATTCCACCCAGACCTTCAGACTCAGCACGCTTTCTCAAGGGGGTCTGTCAAAAGGCCAAGGAGAGTTAACTAGGGGGGTGCAGGCCTCTTGTAAACAAGGATCATTTTAACAAGTTGGTTTGTCTCAAGTTGGGAGTCCCCGAAGATGTGCTTTTGTTTTTGCATTGTCCTTGTCAGAAAGCGTCACTAGCCTTTGAAAAACACGCCCGGCGGCTTGGTTTTGCCCACGAAAGTTCCAGAGCGGCGGGTTGCTTTGTCCACTTCTTTTCGAGGGCTTGCGTCCTTTCTTGGGTTCATTATGGGTCCATCTGTTCTTGACTGGTTGCTTAATGGGAAGAAGTGGGGCCAAGCAAACAGGTACAGTCAAAAGGAACTCTTCCTTCCATTTGCTTGAGAATATGCTTTTATGCTCGCCTGGTTTTAAGCGGACATTTATCACTGGACATATGTCGTTTCTCTCAGAAACCAAAACCGCCTATGGACGTTTCCCTTCAACACCACTACCCAAAAAGCAGTGCGCCCGAGGTTTTTCCCAGCTAGGAAACAGGCAAGCGCTGATGTCCCAGGAGGGTCTTGTTCCGCGCTCATGTTTCAGGACACCCCCGTGTAGAGGGAAAATGGGAAAGCCGCCCCTGAACTACCAAACCACAGGGCGAAAACATAAACAAAACACCAGTAAGAGGGAAGCTGAATGTTAGTTGTTCCGAACCTCAGAAAACGGACTCCTCTGGCCGAGATGCTCCAGAGGATGGTGCCAATGACCACTTGTTGAAGCCAAGGCCTCGCTGGGCCTGTCTGTTTTTGAGCCTGGCTACCCGCTTTTTGGGTGCGGTTTCAAGGGATACTTCGAGACACGCCATCAGTTTGGAGGGGTCCCACTCCCAACAAAATGTTAGCTTTAGTGTATGGTTTGGCATGATTCTTACTCTCACTCCCTGAGTTCCTGGATGTCAACAACTGCTTGGGAAGATCGTTTTAGTGTATACTAAAAGTTTGGAGTTGTTTTTTGTTTTGCGAATGCACTAAGGGAGTGAGGGACGGTTGGTGGGTATTGGCCGATTGAGAACCCAGGACATGACCGTGCCGCCCTTCAACAAACTCTGGGCGCAGGCGGCCAGTTTTTTCCTTGTTTTTTTTGAGGTGGGGGGGGGGCAGAAGATGAATCCCCTTTTTATACGACCTTGTCTGGGTCAGTTTTCAGGTCCCTTTTTGCTATTTGAAACCATGGAGCTGGAAACACGAGGAACATGGCCAAGCGCAGTGAGATATCCGGCGGTTGACACTTCCAGCACCTGCTGAAGAAATACATCTTTGTTGTTTTCGCCTGTTGGTTGTAAAGGGAATCTTTTACTGGAAATGGTTCCGGGTGTTGGGAATGCGCCGTTTGGGGATGACCGAATAAAGGAAACCACAATTTGGATGGTTTATCTCGGTCATTCCTTCATTTCTCATTCCTGCCTATCGCACCAGCAAGCTTATGTTTTATTTTCCAGAAGACCGTCAGAAGACCTGAAAAGCCCCAGACCCCACCTAAAACCTCCACTACACCCCCTGAAATGCCCTAGACCCCCAAACACCAAGACCCCAGGAAGTGAGCCACTGGGGGAATCTGAAACTAGCTTTTGGTTTCTCAGCGTTGCCCGGGTTTGGGCTGGGTAAAAGTGCCGATCCGGGCAGAACCAACCCCTTCAGGTTTCAACCAAAACGTCTGTTCTATCCATTCGATTCCCTTCCCTTGGTTTTTGTTTGGTATTCCTTGCGCCGGTTCCTTTTTGGATGCGTTTCCCGTTTCCCACTTGGGTCCCCAATTTCAAGAAGCCAGATGGTTTTCGCTGGCTTGCCTGCATTCTGGGAACCACTGGATCTGGTTCTGCGCCAATTGTCCTTGAAAGGCCCTTCCTTTTGTGGGGTCCTATGGGCACTTAGAATATATCTTGCAGCCAAGGACCCTGAAAAACAATACCAGTCAGATCCGTTTAAATTGTGCCTCATTCAAGTTCTGTCGCCTGCGAGTCACGGTTTCGCAGCGAGCGTGCCAGGATGACGTCATTTGCCATCCGCTGATTCTGGCACTGCTGGCGCGGTATGTGCGGAACAGCACCAACATGAGTGAGGACTTGGGAGTCTCCGTGAAAATATTCAAAATGGAGGGTAACACAAGAAGGGTGGTTTCCCTGTGGTTCCTCTTTCAACCTAGGAATGGGTATGGGTTCATTCTCCTGCTTTAGGCCTTTGCAACCCAAACCAAAGAGCACCAACCGTTTTTTTCCAGAAAAAAAGCAAGGAATCCACCAAGAGAGTATTGGTGCGTGCGTAGGTTTGTTTGCGTGCGTACTTGCGTGCTTGACTGCATGTGTGCTTGCGTGCATGTGTGCTTGCGTGCGTGCGTGTGTGTGTGTGTGTGTCTCTGTGTGTCTCTGTGTGTCTCTGTGTGTCTCTGTGTGTCTCTGTGTGTCTCTGTGTGTCTCTGTGTGTCTCTGTGTGTCTCTGTGTGTGTGTCTCTGTGTGTCTCTGTGTGTCTCTGTGTGTCTCTGTGTGTCTCTGTGTGTCTCTGTGTGTCTCTGTGTGTTTCTGTGTGTGTGTGTCTCTGTGTGTCTCTGTGTGTCTCTGTGTGTCTCTGTGTGTCTCTGTGTGTCTCTGTGTGTCTCTGTGTGCCTGTGTGTGTGTGTCTGTGTGTGTCTGTGTGTGTCTCTGTGTGTTTGTGTGTGTGTCTCTGTGTGTCTCTGTGTGTCTCTGTGTGTCTCTGTGTGTCTCTGTGTGTCTCTGTGTGTCTCTGTGTGTTTCTGTGTGTCTCTGTGTGTCTCTGTGTGTCTCTGTGTGTGTGTCTGTGTCTCTGTCTGTGTCTCTGTCTGTGTGTCTCTGTGTGTCTCTGTTGTGTGTCTCTGTGTGCCTGTGTGTGTGTGTGTCTGTGTGTGTCTGTGTGTGTCTCTGTGTGTTTGTGTGTGTGTCTGTGTGTGTCTCTGTGTGTCTCTGTGTGTCTCTGTGTGTCTGTGTGTGTCTCTGTGTGCCTGTGTGTGTGTCTGTGTGTGTGTCTGTGTGTGTCTCTGTGTGTCTCTGTGTGTCTCTGTGTGTCTCTGTGTGTTTGTGTGTGTCTGTGTGTGTGTGTCTGTGTGTGTGGCTGTGTGTGTGTGTGTGTGTGTCTGTGTGTGTCTCTGTGTGTGTGTGTGTCTGTGTGTGTCTGTGTGTGTCTATGTGTGTGTCTGTGTGCTGTGTCTGTCTGTGTCTGTCTGTGTCTCTGTGTCTCTGTGTCTCTGTGTCTCTGTGTCTCTGTATGTGTGTGTGTTTGTGGGTGTTTGTGGGTGTGTGCGTGTGTCGTTTTTGTGGTGGGCTCATTGAAGCAACACCCTCAAAATGGCCCTCCAAACGACATGAACCGCATTCACTACACTTGTGCGTGGTTCTCAAAATCCCACCTTGACTACTTTGACACGCGTTTTTGTTCAGTACACTGGTATTTTGTTTTATCAAGATTTAATTTGACCCCCGGGCCCCCGGATGAATGAATCCACCTGGATTGCCTTGACATGCGTTCTTGCTTCCTCCTCTTAGAAGCCGCCGGATTTCCGGAGGTGCCCCTCTTTGTGAGGAGATCCCCACCCCCGTAAAAATGGAATTGGGGAGGGGTTTGACCCCTGGAATTCCATTTGTGGTTCCATTTTCGCTGAAAAAGGGGAAGACTAGTAACTGGGTAAATGGAATTGGGGACCCCCCACCCCCCTCCTCCTGAAAGTAGGGGGGGTGTGAGGAGAAGTCTGCTGAGATGTCCTTCGCCCAGTGGCTGGGCGCTGGCGGAGGTGTCGAGCACTTCACCTCGGGGGAGATGAGCGCGGGATATCCGGAGTTGGACCTAATGGCTCCCGAAGCTGTTCTTGGCAAGGCGTTTCTTGCTTCGCCTTTTTTTTCCCAGTTTTTTCCCGGTTGTTTACACTCATTTTTAGAACAGGGGGCTGCTTTTTTTGGTTTTTTTCCCCCGGTTGTTCGGTGCTTTTAACGGTTTTTGGGCGAATTCTGGCCAGAACAAAATGGCAAGTTGTGTGCGACCGTACCCAGGGTTACCAAGGGCAGCGTGGCCGAGTTTTGATTCGGGTCTGGTCCTCCCCGAGCGGCCGAGAAATGAGCCAGCGGACTGCGGTGCAAACCTTTAAACAAAAAACATAACTAAGTAAGTAAATAGATCAGTAAATAGACATAAACTACATACATCAATAAACAAATACATAGATAAACAGATAAGCAAACCATTGCCGTACCAAAGGCTTATCTTTCTCCAAGTTGTTTTGCCTGTTTGGGTTTCCATCAGGCCTTTCAGCCAGCGAAAGTTTTGAATTTTCGTTGAGAGAGGTGTCCACCGTTTCCGGAGATTCACGGAGCCCGGTTCAGTGGATGCATCCGAGCCCCTCGTTGATTTGGATTGGCGGGGTGGGTTTGGCGTTTTTGGTTCTTTTGGGCCCCCGGAACATGGCCCAACCTCACCGGGGCCACCAAACCACATGAGAAGCGGATTCGCGCTGAGGTGTTCAGTTGGCCTTCGAAGTTGGCTTATGATACCTGTCCTCATCATTTTGAGGAGAGCCTTCGTCCATTTGCACGAGGTGCGTCAGTAAATCAAAAGTTGCTTGGATTTGCTTTTTCTGAATGCCACTCTCACTTGCGCCAAAGCGAATCATACTGTTCACCTTTTGGTTTTCCTGGTTTGGCAACCATAGTCTGTTGGTCCCAAAAGGTGATCACCTTTCATTTGGTAACCGTGCCACTGAGCACTTGTAGGTCCCCCAGTAGTGCCCTTTTACCAACTTTTTGGGGGGAGGGTTTCCCTACTAAAATAGACTACAGAAAAGAAAGGAGAAAACACAACGGGTACCCTTATTCTTGGCTCTCTACTGGAGGACCTAGTTGAATTAGCTGCTGTCACACCTACATTTGGAATTCCGGTATTTTCTTGTGCAGATGTCTCCTTTGCAGCAACGTGTGACCTTTCTGTTCCACTGAGGACTTTTTCCGCCACATTTTGAGCCGAAATCGCCACTGAGGTTGTGGTGGACACTCCTGCGGGGGCGCCAGCTCAGACCCGGCACCGGGACACCATCCTGCCGGGCCCCTGCGCGTCTTTGGGGGTGCACATCCCTCTCACCAAGATGCAGGCAGGCATCATGGGTCGGACGATTGGGCCCGGATGCTGGATTTGGGGTAACGGATCTTTCTCAGCTTTCAATTTTTGGGTTGAAATCTTGAGGGTTTGCCGTATTGAGCCCACCAAATAAGTGAGAACTTTTTAGCAGAGGGGCCATCATGGCTTGGTGGCTTTTGAAATTCCATTGATATGGTGTCCCTCTCAAGGAAGGCGGAAGGGGAGTGGATAAGTCTTTGTTTTTTTCTTGGCTTCCTACTGCGGACGAAATCCCGCACCAGTTGGGATGGATGAACTCCTACAAGTAACTTGACAAACCGCCTACCAACTAGTGCAGGATTTTGTCCATCCATTTTATCTCAGAGTGGGGATGCAGTTTCGGACCTCCATCTTGGTCAGGGGAACACCCTTAATGGTCGAAGATGGTTTCCAGTTCTGACCCCCGCCCCAGAGCAAAATGGATGGACAAAATCCTGCACTAGTTGGTAGGCGGTTTGTCAAGTTACTTGTAGGAGTTCATCCATCCCACCGATTATTTAAACGGAGCAGATGTAGCATGCAGACATACATACGCACGTGCATGCATGCACGCACACACACACGTGTATGCATGGATACATACACTCGTAAATACCTACAAACATACATTACATGGCATTAGATCAGGTTACACTAGAATACATGAGGTCACATTACATTGCATTACATGCATGCACACGTACAATGTTTAAGTGCAGCAGCTTGGTTTGGGGGATTCATCCGAAGGGGCCCTTTGGATCCACAGGCGGAGCCGCTGAATGGCGCCATCGGCTTCTTCCCGGGCTCCCACGTGCTGCGGGGGGAGCTGGGGGATAAGCCCAAGCTGCCGGAGGCGAGGAAAAAACCGGAGGGGTTGACGTTGGTCTTCCTTTTGGTGGGTTTTCGGGGGGGTTTGGGGGTTTGGGGAAGGTCCGGGAGAGGGGGAGAGGGAATCCAATGTCCAAATGAAAATCAAGCACAAGAACCACTCCCACCCCCTTACACATGAGATTGGGGAAGGGGATTTCGACCCGTGGAGTTCCATTTTTGGCATTTCCCTTGCATGGGGAAGACTGGATACAGTAAATGGAATTGGGCACCCCCCACCCCGCGTCCCCCTGGGATGCTGAACCCAATTAGTGGTTCGGAGGTTACTCACTCTCAGTGGTTTGGAGGTTACTCCCTCCCTGAGTCCTGGACTTTAGTTACTGTCTGGGGTTGGTCCATTCTTGTGGTAATCAACAAGTTTTTGGACTTTTTTGGCCAGTCCACTCACGATAGCGAGGTTAGGCATGGGATACAAGGCTTCAAATCCAAATCCAGTCCCCGCCAATCCAAACCAGGCTAGCCGCACATGGGGGACATAAGGAAGGTCACAACCAAGGTTACTAACCACTCAGAACGAACTTGGCCCTCACCGCGCACCCGCGCCCACGTAAACGTCAACGGACCGATGGAATCCACGTGTTTCCAGCTTGTATGTCCCCAGCAAGCATCACCAAAAGAAGTGCATCTCAACTTGGCCAAAAAATGATGCTTCAACGGCGATTCAACGGCTCAGGTGGGCATTTAGGTGGAGAATGGTGATCATTGTGGAGGGATTCCCGCATTGAAAGCAGCCGTTTGGTGACTTGAGCCATCAAAATAGGGAACCCTTTCCTGGTTGTAAGTTCAAAACAGCTTCCAGCTTGCATTGAGAGCCCATTTGGGGTCAACCCGTTACAAGCCAAAGACACCAAATCTTCAACACCAGGCCCGCAAGGATGGATGGTTGGTTTTCTTCCGCTTTCCTTTTCAAACATAATCTCCAAAGCTTGAGTTGAAATCTTTTGGGTTTCCGCGTTGAGCCCAGGACAAGTTAAGCTTCTTGCAGAGGGGTCAACGGCAACCAATGTTGGAATTAGTTTTTCACGATGCCACATGGACACTTTTTAAGTAAGCCTTAGTCGGTAGTTTGGATTGGTGAGTTGGGGGTTCAACCCCTTCTGAGGGTAAAGGGCAAACCTAATTCGGATACCCTTTTGGAGGGAAGCTGAACTTTGTGAAACAAGTTCTCAAGTTTTGACCTTTTTGACCCATTTTTGACCCATTTTTGACCCACACCCAAATGGCCACTTCAAACAACTTCCCAAGTTTTTGTGGTGGGTGGGGCAGTTTGGGGCCTCTTTGTTTGGTTTGGATTTCCCCGGGCCACGTCTCTCTTTTTTCGGTCTCGTAGATGGTGGGTGCGACTGCCCCGGGCTCCGTGATTCTCTACGACTCCTTTACGGAGCACCGGGGCCTGGAGAATGCCACTGGGAGCTGCAGAGAGCGAGGGAGTGGTTCCTACCAGAAGTCCCCCCACTCAACGTGCCATTGTTCAAGGTGCCATGTGGCTGTTGGTCAAAACCCATGGGATGCCAAGGTGCCATGTTGGGACAAGAAAAATGAGCCAGAGCCTTGTTGGCAGGATTTCAGAATTTCTGGTTCCTACATATGTGGTCAAAGCCGTTTTGGGATCCCATTCTGGTTGGTAGGTGAATTCACCACCCATTTTAGAACCTATTTTAGTGGTTGGATTGGGATGTTCACTGGGGGTACCGGATTTTGACCCATGGCCACATATTTGTCCACTCTCAAAGTGGCTAAAATGACTCCACCCACTAAAAGGGGACATTGAGGGACCCGTTCCTACTATATCCCCCGATTTCCCGCACTCCCAAAAATGACTCCATCCCACGGGGAAAAAATACAGAAGAACATTAATAGGTTGTTCCCTCCAATGGTCTGAACAAACGAAAAGTTAAAGGGATTGGACACCCAATCAGAAACCGGAGGCTTCAACTTGTGGGTGTTTTGGGCAACTGAGTTAACATTACCTTTTGTGGCCATTTACTGTGAGCTTCCTGTTCAAGGGGTGATGTTTAAGGAGGAAATCAGATACTCACTTGCCCAAAGCGACCTGAAATGACCCTTTGGTTTGGTAACTGAGGCAGAATTGGCTGGCCCTTTCTTCCAGCATAAAACTAAGGTTTGAGGCGAACCCTACCCAGCACCTGAGCCACAAGAGAACAACTCGGGGTCCCAGTTTCTGTGACATGGGAATTGGTAAAGTGGTCACAAACAACCGCTTTGTTGTCCTGAGTTATTTGCCCGAGCGTTTTGCACATTTCGCCCCTTCCAAACTTCACCTTACCTCCACTAGTGGCTTGCTTCCTTGTTGTCCTTTGTGGGAGGGGGTGAGCCCTTCAGAAAGCCAACGCCGGATATTAAAAAAAGGCGGGCGCTAGGGCATGGGACGTTGAGTCAGCAACAGGTCTGCCCATCAAGCAAGATAAGGGCGAAATAGTTACACGCGTTAAGCTCTCTTATGCTCGTGACTAAGTTTGGCTTCAGCCCTGCCATTCCAACCCATTCTCCACCCTGCAGTCCCTGGTTTAAGAACGGCCAAGGACCAAACCTGCCTTCCATGTTTTGTAGCCGTTACTCCACTGCAGATTGCCGGAAAGAACCCCAAAGGACTTCCGTTAACTTGCAGGGGAGTAGCGGGTCATCTTGATCTGTTGGGGATTTAAACGGGTCCCCGGTTCTTGTAGAGAGTAGAAGGGAAACCCCGGAACACCTCCAAACCAATCCACCAAACCGAACATAGTTGGAAGCTACTTTGGGGAGACACCATTTTTTCGTATGCAAAGGGGAGCCCTTCCTGCCATTTTGGGGAATGAGACCTAGCCCAACCGGACAAAGCCGAGCCCTCGGCTTGGGCTTCGGCACGCTTCGGCACGAGGTGAGCGCGGAAGCGCGGGCGGCCCTCTTCGCATGGTTCCGGGTGCCTGGGGTTTACACCGGCCATACGGAGGCGAGCTTCGGAAGTCTTCCTTTGCTTTTGCTCGCATGTTCCAAGTAGGTTGAAGGGAAACCCAGCCCAGTTTCTGACTTTGAGACTCCAGAAATGGTCAAAGTTGTGAATCCCCGGACGCCGTTACGGAGCTGGGGGTGCCCATTTTTCTTTCGTGAGCCGTTCGGAGCTAGGAGGTCTGACATGGTAGTTTAGACTTTTGCTGATTGAAATATGACAAAAGGTTTACTTTGGTGCATTTTGCCAAGGGCTGTTGCGACTTTAACTTGCCAACGAAATTGGGTTTTCCACTAAACCACCAAAAGTTAGGAGCAGAAAGCAGCCGAGTTTAAGCTTTTGAGGGGTCAACAACCAAGTGTTAGTCCCAAAAAGAAACCCAAAGTCAGCTTACCCCTTGCTGAATCCCCCCGCGGCTTGGAGTCGAAGATCTTTTGGCCCTCGAGCCGCCAGAGGAAGGGTCGGCATTTCATTGTTTCAAGAGACCCCGTTAACTACAAAACGAGCTCCCAGTTGTTCAGTGCCACCCTTCGAATCCCTGCTGTTTTGGGCTTGTCACGGAGAACCCCCCCCAAAAAAAAACGAGTTCAACCTCCACAGCCAAAGAAAAGGAGAAAAGGGATGGGAGAACCCGGCAGTTGGTCAACCTAAAATGTGTCCCAAAGTTCGGGATCCCTCTAAATGGGGAAGTTGTCCTTTTAGGCTTATCTTCAGAAGCCATCCCAGAATCTCTTTGGTGCATTTTGCTTGGCTGTTAGGACTTTAACCTCTTGCCAGCTATTGGGTTTTCCACTAAACCACTAAAAGTTAAACTTTTAGCAGGGGAGCAGAAAGCAACTTGGGATTGGAGGAAATTTGTTTTGGAGCCGGTCATGAATAATTATCCCGGAAGCCGACTCGGGGCTCGGGGAAGGCTTCCGGGTTTCCAGTGAGTATGCGTGCCGATGGGCCAGGTGCCCAAGCTTCCAAAAGCCAAGGCCCAAAGCGAATCACCTGAAGTTACCTTTGGTTGTGTCAGGCTGGTCCATTTAGTGGCCCCGAAAGCTTTGTTTTAACTCGTCTCAGTTGGCCCACGAACAACTGGTTAAGCTTTCGGGGCCACTAAATATGGTTGTTTAGGGGAACTACTTTGGGCAAGTGAGTGATTGGTGATTTGACATTGGCCTGGATTTAGATTTGAACCCCTGGATAGAAGGTAACCGGCTGTAGCCTTCAGTTGGACTTCCGGTTCTTGTAGAGGGTAAATGGTGGTGGGCTCCAAGCCACTACTGGAGAAGCTCAAACCACCCGGCTCCAAAAGAATCAACCAAAGGAAGCTGAACCCCTTTCGGTAAGTTGCAAAGAAAAGCAAAAGGAGACCGGTGATTCTTGGGTGTTCGGCCAAGTGAGCATCCTAGGTCACAACCTATTTACCACCAACCACCAGACTAACTGCACATGGGAGGGCCCGCCAAAATAGTTTGTTTCCTTACGAAAAGGGTTTTGTATCACTGATTGGTACGGTCCGGGTTAGCTCGAAGTCAACATTACTCATTTTCCCCAAAAGTTGCAGGTGAAAGACCCAACCCAATAGCATTCAAGCAACGGTTTTGAAGAAGCCATTTTTTTGACTCACTGGCCCTACAGAGCTTTCCTCATTCAAGTAGCACAGTCTGGAAAAGAATCCAACATGTTTGCCCAAGGTTTTAAAGAAAACAAAGAAAAGCTGGGGGTTAGTAAAAGTGACACAAACTGGCTGGCGGTTGGAAGGGATAAAAAAAGAAGAGAGCACCAAAAAGAAAAACCACCATGTCCTTCCATTTGTTCAACCATATTTTATATTTTCCGCTGCTGGTGTTCGAGGGAATCTATCACTACTGGAGTTTTTTTTTAGGGGGCTTAAGCAAACCACCATGTGTGGGGTGTCCCTAAAAAATCAAACTGGCGAAACTGGTTGGAAGGGAGCACCAAAAGAAGAGAGCACCAAAAAGAAAAAGAAGAAGAACAAAAAACACCATGTCCGGGGGGTGCTTTTCTAAAAAAGTCGGCCGAGAAGCTGATGGCGGACGGACGCGTGCGTGCCCCGGCCAGGAGAACTTCGGGCCCGAGGGCCTGGAGCGGGCCGACGCCTTCCGGCGCTACCTGCGCCCACGGCTGCGGGAGGCGGAGGAGCGGCAACGAGCGCCTGGGACTTGAGACCTGACGCGACGCAGCTTTCGGGGGAGGAATTCCACTGGAGAAATCCCAGGTCCAGTAGCGCCCTTTCTCACCCCTTTTTTTTGGGGGAGAGGTTTTCTTGCTAAGTTAGACTGCAGAAAGAAAAGGCGCCATTGTTCGAAGCTCTCCTTTTTGGTTGATTTGGTTTAAAGACTTCGATTTGCTGAAATGAATATGTATTTTTTGGTTTTCCCTTGTTGGTACTAAAAGGAATTTATCACCACTGGACATATGTTTTTATTTTTCCAGGGGTCTTAACATGGAAGAAAATAGAGGGCCCTGGTTTGCCTGGTGATTCAATCAACTACCAGGGCCATCTATGTTCCCAAAAAGGACACCTATGGGTTCCACTGGAAAAGTCCATCAAACAACGTAGCTGCCCAGCAACGCGAACCCAGGATGAAGGTGAACTTTTGTTGGATTGTGATTGGGGGGTGTCACCTTTCAGTGGTGGTTGGTCACTTTTGGAGGAAGCACCCCCCATGGTAACAGGACGGTCCCCACCAAAAAGAGCATGTCCTTTCACATGCCCATCGATGTGGTTCTACTCTCGCCTTCCTTCTCATTCCTAGCCCTATGCCTCAGTCGTAAGGGCTGCAAAAGGGACCTTTGAGTCGAAAAAAATGCCCTTGCTCAAGCCATCTCTCACTTCCTGAGTTTCTACTTACTTTTGGAAAAGGCCTTGTGAGTGGCTGGGCTGCTATTGGGTTGGATCTTTAGACTTTACCTTTCTGGTTGAAATCAAGTTGGGTTTCCACAACCCCCAAAAAGTTAAACTTTTTGCAGGGGGTGAACAGCAACCAAGGGTGGTAAACCACCAGTTTGGTCTCACTTTTTTGTTCGCCAATCCACTGGATCGGAAGGTTTTGACCGAGGTCGTCCGGTGGATCAAAACTATTCCCCAAGCTTCAGGGCCAGGACAGAGACGAGCGGAGAGACTGCAAAGCGGGCTCCATGGCGCTGCCTTTCTGAATTTGGTACTTAAGCACCTGTCGGTTCCTGCGATTGAAAACTGAGCAACACTTGACCCACTCCCCCGCAAAATTGACGGAAGGAACCCCAAAAAGGGGGTCCAAATCTCAAAAGGAGCTGCCTGAGGACCGGTCCCACCTGGCAGGATCTCGGCTTCCACTCCAAGCGAATCAATTTGTGACAACCTGTTGGTGTCCCCAAAGTTGTCCATCTGAGTGTCCATGTGGGTATGATTTTTAAGTGGGCACCCCCTGAAGGTTAGGGTTTATGCCCAGTTTGCTGGGCACGTGACATGTGGGTATGATTTGTACTTGGGCACCCTTTGTGGACATCACGAAGGTCAGGATTGCCCAGTTTTCAGGGCTTCTCAAAACATCCATGGCGCCCAATTTCCTCTGGCTCCAAAATGGTGTGATCACCCTTCAAATTTTGTTGGGTTCCTTCCTCCCCCCCCCCTCCTTTCCCCCCTCCTCCCCCCCCCCCACCCCCGTGCACGCGCATGCAAAAAAAAAGCAAAAACAACACAAACCGCTGGAGGCCCAGTGCCCGGGGGCGTGCGAGAGCCGCGCGCTGGAGGCCTGGGGCTTCCGGCGCCCCCCGCGGCAGCTGGTGCCGTGGACGCGGTCCTGGGGCGAGGAGCGCGTCTGCCCGGGCGCTGAGTGGTGGTCGAGCGATGCGCGCGGGGGGAAGGGGAGGGGGGAAGGGGGGGGGAAGGCGGGGGGGGGGGGAAGGGGAAGGTGCCCTCGGAGTTTGTTTTTTTGGTTTGGGCTGTTTGGCAATCAAGGGCTGCAGTGTAGCGGCTGCAGGGCCAAGTGGGCATTCACTAACTTCGCGAACCATGCGTTCCTTTAGTGGTCGGCATGGAGGTTGTAGAAATCCTTGTGAAACGTCCCAGCACCGTAAGCTCAGTCAGTGACAGCTGGTCACAGAATTTGCTGCCCAGATGTATGGGGGGGATTGTATAGAACCAAAATGAAATGGGGGGCTGCTCATACGGAAATCCTAGACCCAGAAAATGTCCCCGACCCCCCCCCTTATTAATGAACTGGGGTTGATTAATATGGGGTCAGCATTGTTTGGCCCAGAAATTCCGTTGACTACACTTGGGGAATCCCACTAATGTTGAGCCCGGATGAATAAAGCCTGGTTGATTTTGATTGGGGAGGATGTCCCCTTTTCGTGGTCGGATTCAGACCACTTCTGGAGGGAACACCCCGGGTGTTTGGCCAAGTTAGGTATGTTATAGCCAACTTGTTTTTCGTCCCGGTGCAGTTAGCCTGAGGTGAAATAGGTTGGCCAAACACCCACGCCTCCGTCAAACCCGAGGCTTCCGGTGCAACCGCACGCGCGGGGAAGGCAACTTTTGCGCGGAAACCCCGGCCTCGAGGAGAAGAGAGCAACCTGGATGCGAGCTTTCCACCGGGGTCTTTAGGTTTCTATCCACCAGGGTGCCAGTGTGGTATGTTACCAGACGGGTGTCCGGCCAAGTTAGTCAGCGGTGGGTATCCTACATCACCTATTTACCAGGCTAACGGCACTGCGACTTCTACGTAGGTCACCTAAATTTCTACCCACCTGGCTTGGCCCACCTCCAAGCAGCCGACCCAACCCTACCATACCCACCCCCTGGCCCCTGGTATGTCACCATACCTCCCCCCCCCCCCCACTCCCGAGGTGGTACTGCCGCTCTTGCTGGGAGGAGTGCCGCTCAGCCGGGGTCACGCCAGCACCCTGGCCCGGCAATATGGAAGAGCCCTGGCAGGAGGAGCCACTCGACTCGACCGACCAAGAAAGCATCCCGTTGCTTAGATTTAGGGAATCCCGTGCTGTCATAAATGTTTTTTTTTTTTTTTTTTACCGGGGCCATCCAGAGCACATACCTTCCATCTGCTTGAGGGTAGGTGTTTACAAGCCTTTGTTGGCTTGAAATTTGTGTGTGGGTCAAAATTGAACCACCAGGAATTGGACCGCATAGTCTTTGGTTTCATTTACCAGGGCAAGCCATTTTGGGTCCGCATTTTTGACCCATAGCCATAGGAAAATCCCACCAGACCTTCCAGGACACCCCCGGTTGGTGCGAGGGTACCCCTTACATAAGCGGCATATAACCTTCCATGTGCTGAAATGAAGATGTGTTTGGTTATTTCCCCCCGGGTGACTACTAGTTTTTTTTTTCCCAGGGGACTTGAGCACATGGAGCGGTTCGAATCGGCCCACTCCGTTCCGACCCGCTTTCAACTTCACTCGGTCGAGCACACATACCCACTGGGCGAAAGTAGATGGAGCAATTCCCCCATTGTTGAACTTGATCCACGTAAAGGGTGGGTGTGCGCCGCGTGCGCCAGTATTTTCACACCGGACAGCCATCAGCTGCCTGTTGGTTTGGGTGTGCCTGTTAACCTGAAATGGTTTCCACATTGCTGTGGCCACTAACAAGTCTTAAGTTGAAAAGTGCCGGGCCCTGAAATGAGACGGACATGGAAATAGGGGGTGAAAGGAGAAGGCCCCAGCGGACAGCTGTTTTGCTCCCAGGGTGTTACCGCCAAGTCGGTGTTTAGCTTGAATGCTCCAGACTGGCTGAGATTTGACCGACGTTTGGGACCATCGGAGGCTTTTTCGCCCTTGACAAAACTAAGTTGTTCAGTTAGTCGACCTTTTGACCCCACTTCTAGTCATGGCCCTAGGTTAACTTTTGTGTCCAGGCCTGTCGGCCTAAGAAAAATGACACTTCTTTTGTTCATGGCCCTGAAAGGTTAACTTTCCAGGCCCGTTGGGCAAAGAAAAACGATGAACCAAGAAATGATGATCCCGGGTTTGGAGTTGAACGTTGCCCGATTTTGTGCAGCCCAGAACACTCGTAGCGAGACCTGCACCGTGCAGCGATGATTGCCACAATTGGTTGACCATTTAATAAGGCGGCGAGAACGAGTTCAAAGCAGGCACCGATTTGCCAAATCGGGTTTTCTTCTGTTTGCCTGGGACAAGCTTCAGCCGATAAGATTCCTATGCCTAAATTGCCTATACATGTTCTGTGGTCTTCGTATTCATCCAGACCCCATGCAATCTGGAAAACAGTTTGGATGCGCGTTTTGCGGATTTCACCTGTTCTTTCCCCTGTTGGTCCTTTTCTAGCAATCTCTTAGTCGTCTTTCAATTCTACAGGGGTGGATCCACAGATTCGCACATCCAAACCGATTTCTAGAGAAAGGTGTAAAGGCGACCCGATGTCCCATCCAAGCATTTCTCTAAGGGTTGGGTTGCAGGAAATCCTACGGGGAACAGTTCATTTAGGTTGTTTGGCAGTTTCCGGTAGGCAACCAAACCCTTTGATTTTCTAGGTCCCCCAGTAGTGCCCTTTTACCCTTTTTTGAGGGAGGGTTCCCCTACTAAAATAGACTACAGAAAAAGAAGAAGAATAATAACAAAAACGGGTACCAACTTATTCTAACCTCTCTACTGCAGCACCTAGTTTTCGAAGCCGGGCCTGGCAAGAATCGGCCAGGACCGTGTCAGCGAGGAGCGGCTGGAGGAGCTGCAGGCGCAAATGAAGCTTTGCGGAGCCGGTGCTGTTGCTGCATACTCGTGGTACGCGTGAATTTAAGTTTTACTCAGGGGCCCTTTGGTGGGCATGAGTTTGGTTGGGGTTCATGTCCGTCTCATGGCTATTATGACCTATTGCGACCATGTTAAGCCAATATAAAAAAAATGGTGTTAATTAAACCATTACGGCCAGGTTAGAACCAATTGTCAATGGTTTTTGGTGGGGTTTCATGTCCACCAGACACTCTTGAGGTGAATCCAACTCTTAAAATTAATGGCTAGATGTGAAATTACACGTTCACGTGGCGGATTTGCCACATTTTGCCACAATGGTGTGCAAGGCAATATACACGCGCCCTTTTGCGCTAAGCGGCATGTGGGTATGTTTTAAGATAGCGGACCCCACAAACTGTGGTTGTCCTGGTCCCCCACCGCACCAAAAGGGGGCTCATATCTCCACTACCAAGCTTCTTTATTGCTTGTTTGCCTTTTTGTTGTCTCTTTGTTTCCTTCCAACCAGAAAAACCGGTTGACTTTTTGCAGGGTGCCGTCTCCGAGACCAGCATGCCTTTCTGTCCAAGGAAGCACTTGATAGGCATCCCCTTCAGATTTCAAGTGCAATTTGCTGCACCTCTCAAACATAAGCAGTGCTGTGTTCTGTCTTCTTGCCGCCTGAAACCTGTAATTACAGACAGCGTGGATCTTGGGGCGTTTTGCATTGAAGAGTTAGATGAGAGGAGTGTGGGCATTTGTATGGATGCATGTGTATATATATATATGTATGTATACATGTACCTATGTATATATATACACGTATATACACTCATATACAGTAAAAACCAGGTATGTAAGCTTCTTTCTACATAACCCGCGCATCGACTTCAATTTCTATAAGTTACATACCCATGGTCCAGGCGCAGGGCCTGAACATCACCCCGGGCAAGGGCCGACATAAGCTCACGCTGCTGCGGGAGCGAGGCGGCGATGGGAGAGCTTCGGCCCATGGCGTGTGAAGTTCCATTTGGTTGGCGTCTGCTCCGAAACGATGTGAGATTCGAGCGAAATACGGTGGATGGTTGCGAATTCAGTTTCGCACCACGTACGAAATCATAAGAAACAGTTGAATCCACTGTTTTGTCCATATTTGCAGGGGAATCATCATTCCCGCGTTTCTTAGCTGGTGCTGGAATTCGTCCATCCACAGTTTGAAGAATCTGAAACAAAGTCTGACGCCCGATGTAGCCGCAAGGTGGGAGTTTCTCAAAATGCGCCCCCTTTTTCGGCAGACGGTATACGAGAAACCAAGACGAAACCAACTCTTTTGGGGCGACCCTATGTTGAGGAACACCCAGTTGAGTGTCCAAAACAATTTCCCATTGGCCACGGGGTTTTTGGCGATCTTGAAGCATTTGCGCCATCTAAAGTGAGTGTCCTTTTGGTGGGGTGATGAAAGGAACTATGAAGAACTCTGTTGAGCCACAGTCAAAATTCGTCAGGGTGACCTGCAAAAAACATGGGAAGCTTAGTGAGTCTCCCCCCCCCCTACTCAAGTTTTGCAGGTATGATCTCCTGTCAGCTCGCGACTTTATCCAGCCAGTCAGCGGCCAACAGGGGCCTGAAAGGACACAACAAGCAATCTGCTTTTTCAGGGGATCCTCTAGATCAGCTGACCCAATGCTTCAGGTTACCACTATAGTTGGTGCCTAGGGGGGGCCATCATGTAAAACCTAGAGGTAAGAAACCCTGCTTACCTCCTATAGTGGCAACTGGAAGCACTGGCTGAAAAACTGAGTTGTCAACGGGCCCGAATGCATCCCACTATAAAATGGCAAAGGGGATCACCATCCTTTTCTGCAAAGCGAAAAGTGGATAAGATAAGCCAACCCAACCCAAGCTCCCAACCCCCCCGCGGGAAGTCAGGTGGCCACACGTGCAAGCGGGGGCCCTTTTACCCGAGCTGACTGTTGGTCTTACTCAGCTGCTTGAAGCTGCGCATGATAGAAACCCAGGTAGAACCATACTATATAATAATAATAGACCACATTCTACAATAGAACCATATGGATGTGTCTTTTCAGTGGACCCCCAGGGTGGATTTTCCTTTGGCCTCCCTTTTGGAGCCACAAAAAGAGTGCCCTCAAAACATATCGCCCATATTCGACAAAGCCAAAACCTTCAAGCCAAGTTTTTGCTCCAAGCGGGGCCCCGCGAGTTTCGTGGCAATGTGGGTGAAGATGTCAATGGATAAATGGTGAGGATGCCTGCAACGTGTGGCGGGGCGATGTGTTTAAGGGGACTGTGTTGAGCCCAAAGCGTGCGGAAGATTCGTGGGTCTCACCCTTCGGGTTTTGCAGGTAGGACGTCCTGTCAGCTTTCAACTTTGAATCTGCTCGAATAATCCTATGAACCGTCGGGCGCCCGAATGGTCTTTGTATGGGAAACAAGGAAACCTTCTTTACGGCAACTTGCCATTTTGCGGCTATGGCTGGTTTGCTCGCAATATGTGGGTGTGTCTTTTTCGAGAACCCCACCCCCCGTTTCCTTTTGGCTGAGGGAAACCCACAACCGAATCGAATTCCGCAGGCTACTTCCTACCGGTGGACCCCTTGCCCTCGTGGCTGGACCGAGTCAGCAACGATCCTCAGCCTTCTGGCTGGAAGGACCTGACGCAGACATGGCGTTGGTGTGGTATGGTGTGGTTTGTTCGTTTGCATGCTTGGCTTGCTTTGCTAGCTTGGCTTGGCTGGGTTGGCTTGGCTTGCTGGCCCGGTGGCTTGCTGCTTGCTGCTTGCTTGCCTGCTTGCCTGCTTGCCTGGTTATTTGGTTGCCTGTTTGTTCATTTGTTTTCCTCTCTGTTCATGTTTGTTTGTTTGTCCAGGTTTTGTTTGTTTGTCTGTCTAGGTTTTGTATGTGCATCTGCTTGGTTGTTTGTTTGTCGCACCATCTGCCTGTCTACCTTGCTGTTTGTCCTGTCCAGTCCTGTCCTGCCCTGTCCTGTCCTGCCCTGTTTGTCTGTCGCCTGCCTGTCTGGTAAAAGGTGCTTGACGCATAAATTTGCATAAATTATACTTGCAACCTTCTAGTGAGCTCCATAAGTGAGAGTGCGCCCAACCGTCCAGTGGATGGGACGGTTGTGCCATTGCTCACACAAATAGCATACTCCTTGGATTCTGTGCACTCGGTGGCCGTTTGACGGGGACATGTTTGAGTTATGGCGGCGTGCGAAGGGGCGCGGGCTATAACTTGCCAACCATGGCTTTTGCACCAGCCAGGAAAGATGATGTGAAGAACAAACACAACAAACCAGCAAACACGCACGCAATATACAGTCAGTCAGGCAGTCAGTCAGTCAGTCAGCCAGCCAGCCAGTCAGCCAGTCAGTCAGTCAGTCAGTCAGTCAATCAATGAGCCTCCGATAGACAGCAGAGGACAAGATTACTCGCGTATCAAGTTGGGGCGCGCTCTTATTGGTTTTGCAGGTCGGGTGTGTAATGTTATCCGGTATTCATGCTAGGTGACTGCTGTGGCGCCTTTCACCCGCGGACCGTTTCACCTTTGATTCCCTTTGATGTCATGGTCTAAAGCATCGCCCCGAACCCCCACCAAACTCCGGGGGGCTCGAGAGTGGTTTCAGCGGACTACTCTTGAGGCCTCTTTGCAAGAGGCCCAGCTTGGTTTTGCCTTGAAGACAACCCTAAACATATACCCTGTCCAAAGGGCACCAAGAGAACGTGGTTGGAGTGTGGCAGGCTAGGAGGGCCAGTCAGAAGCAGGTAAATTTTAGGGAATCCCTAGGGTGGATAAGGGGTAGATCTTTTCAGATACGAAATGCTCCCGAAATTTACGATGCATTCCGAACAGAAGGCCCCAATAATGAAATGTGACTCAGCCCACGTGTCTCATAAATGATGGGAGTTGATGCTGATTTGTTGAAAACATCCACGAAGTAGGGATCCTCGATGACTTTATGACTTGAAATGGTTTAGGACCTTGGGGGCTACTTTTGAGGAGCACATAAGTTTGCCCGCATCATTTTCCCCTCAATGCCAACTGGGAGCCTAGGTTGAGACTCTCGGAACAAAGTTAGGCAAATTTAAGCAACCATACCGTGGATGGACGAAATCCTGCACCACTTTGAAACCATAGGAAACCATTGTTTGTTGGTATTTACAGGGGGAATCATCATTCTTGGGTGGTGCAGGATTTCGGCCATCCACAGTATCAGCCCATATTTTGTTCCATTCAACCCACAAGTCAATCCTTAAGTCCTTAAGCAGATGTGAAAACGGACAGCCCAGATAGGTCTTAGGCGGCTTTCTGCAGCACTCACCCAAGTGACCCGCGCAGGACGGCATGCGCAAGGCGCTGGGCGAGGTGCCGCGCAGCGATGGCTTCTAG